GCACGACAGGCCGACGATGCCGGCGACCTTGTGCGTGCCCGTGAGGCCCGAGAAGATGGCCATGGCGCCGCCCTGGCTGAAGCCGCCGAGGACGATGCGGTCCGCCGGGATGCCGGCGTCGACCTCGGCCTGGACGAGGCTGTGGAAGTACTCGTTGGACGCGAGGATGCCCGGCGCGTCCTCGTTCTCGCGCAGCGACTCGACGGTGCCGTCGAGCTTTTTCTGCAGGATGGCCGCGGTGGTTAGGGGGGACGGACCGGGGGGGATGCGGTGGCGGTCTAGGATGGAGGCGCGACTTACAATGTCGAACCAGCCGGGCATGCGCATGCCGAAGTTCTGGGGTGAGGGTTCTTGTCAGCGGGTTTGATCATCTGTGAATTCCCCCGCAGACGTCTCTCATGAATATCATCCAGCACCTCTCATTGCTCATGCCGCATGATGAATGTGATGAGACGAGATGAGATGCGATGAAATGGAAATGAGACGGACAACGGGGATGGAGAGGGGCGCAACTCACACAGGTGATGGGGATCTGCGGCGCGTGAGGCAGGACGAACTTGACCTCGTCCAGCCTCTGCCTCCGCCTCCAGTTCTCAACGGCGCTCGCCCAGCCGTTGCCCGTGTCGCCGAGGCCGTGGGCGAAGATGACGGTCGCCGTGTGCTTCCCGGCGGCCGGGAACACGAGCGGGGCCGCGCGGCTGATGGACGACATGTCAGCTGCTACAGGTGGGGTTCCGCCAAAGAGGGAGTCTTGCGGGACGGCTGCGAGCGGAGGGTGAGTGTCGCGGTCGCGGTGTTGTTGAGGTTCGGAGACGGTGTGGTGTGCGAGGTTGGCGATGACGACGAGCGTTGTTGCGATGAGCCCGCGGAACGAGAGCATTGAGAGCAAAGGGCAAACTGGAGGTCCAAGCTGATGGGCCGGATGGGAGAGCTTGAGGTGTCCACTTTTGGTTTTTTTTCCCTGGTGGCTCCGTTCCGATGGGTGGGGTCGCTGATTGGGAAGATCTGTGGTGTGCCGGCGCGGCGTGTAGATTCGTCTGGAACGCACTGTGAGGCGGATGGATGTCAGATGCGCGATACAAGATGCAGTGTTACGGAGGCTCGCTCATGGCAATTACCGAACTACTTCTCTCAATAATAGCTACATAGGGAGTAGATATCATGCCAAGGAATCAAAAACTATACAATCCGGGGAAGACGGGGGCCTTCCTCGGAATACCACCGGCACAGCGGATTTAAACTCACCGTCAGCCCACGAGCGGATCCCTTCAGCGCATTCCCGCCACTAAATCACCCCGAAACACACTGTGGACCCGGCCGCGCGCGACGAAAACCACCCCGCCCATCACCACGCCGGCCCCTCCGCCTGGCCCTCCGTCCCTCACCCGGTTCGGGTAAGGGGTCCTCACCGACGTCCGATGTGCAGCGTGTCACTCATATAACTCCCAGCCGACGAACACACCACCGACAGATATGACCATTTTCCCCCTTCTAAGTCCAGCATAAACAAACCACCGAGTCTGGATTGAACCCTCACCATGGCCCGTCTAAACCCAATACTCCTCCTCTCCCTCCTCGTCGCCCTGCTCGCATACATGTTCTCCCCAACCCTGCGATCACTCCTCACAGCCGTGACATCAACCCTCTCAAACTCATCCCAAATGGACCCAGCCACACCATCACCACCGCCAAAAAGGCCCCGTATGCCAGTCTACTTCTTCTCCCACGGCGGCGTAAGCTTCCCCTCCCCCCTCCCCTTCCCCTTTCCCCCATCCCACTAACACCCTCCAGCCCGACGTAATGTACAACAAAGCCCACCCAGTCTACCCAACCCTCCAACACATCGGCCACGAAATAACCTCCCTCGCGCCCTCCGCAATCCTCGTCTTCTCCGCCCATTGGCAATCTCGCTCCCGCACCTACGTCAACATCAACGCTGCGCCCGGTCCCGCCCCGCTAATCTACGACTTCTCCGGCTTCCCCCTGCACTACTACTCCGCCTCCTACCCCAACACCGGCTCACCCCAGCTCGCGTCCCGGACCTGCGCCCTCCTCGCCGCCCACAACATCTCCTGCGTCCCCACCACCGACCGCGGCCTCGACCACGGCGTCTGGGCCGGCTTCCACGTCGCCTTCCACCCGGACACGAACCCCCTCGGCTGTCCCTTGGTGCAGGTCTCGCTCTTCGGCTCGGAGGACCCGGATGCGCACTACCGCCTCGGCAGGGCCGTCGCCGAGCTGCGCGACGAGGGCGTCGTCATCATCGGCGCGGGCATGTCTGTTCACAACCTGTACGACATGGGCGGCGGTCCGGAGCCGATGCCGTATTCTGTCAGCTTCGACGACGCCTTGAAAGAGGCTGTGGAGAGCAAGGTGGAGGAGAGGCAGGAGAGGATGGCGCAGGTGTGTAAGAGACCGGATGCTAAGCAGGCGCATCCTTGGATGGACCATCTTATGCCTGTTCACGTTGCAGCCGGCGCCGCGGGAGACGACCTCGGGAAGCAGCTATGGACCATGCAGGAGGGCAGCTTTGCATGGGCCCAATATCGGTTTGGGTCAGTACCCCAGACGTGACGGAAGCTTTCCACATAAGCGTAGCACATCTGTATTATTATCATTGACTCGAAATAACTTCTACCACGACATAGAGCATAACACCCTTCCCAGGCACTCAGACCATTGGCTCATGTCTCAAGTAATAAGCATGCATACTCATGTATTAGGACGTTGCCTTCCTGGTATCGTAACCCCTGCCGTCGGTCCTCCATCTTCATTATCATAACGCTGTTGTAAACCTTCCCACCGCCGCTTGCTTGCCTCGACATTGACGCTACTTACTAATCACAAGAATGCTCTCGAATGCTCGCTTCTAACCATGGCTCGATGTCTGTCGCTGAGAAAGTTCTCAACCATCTGCTGACTACCAAGCTTCTGAGCCCTCCAGTCATCAGAATTAGTCGTGTCTGAGGTGTCTGTGCTGTTGAAGTCGCTCGAGTCCAAAAGGCGACGACCACTGCCACTTTGCCGTCTCTCTCTGGGTGAACCCCGATTGACCTGGTCACTGCCCAGCATTGGGCCGAATTGTTTCTCCACCGTCATGCCAAGTCCTGGGCTGGAGACTGACGGCTTGAGGCTCTTCCGTAGGCCAACACGCCGGACCAGCTTCATAGGGGATCGAGTCTTCGGCTTCGTCTCGGCCGACGTGAAATCAGGCATTGTATCAGAGCTGCGCACCTTCGACGTCGCTCTGTTGGGTGACTTGACGGGAATGTTGCTCTGGGATGAACGCGACTGAAGAAGTGGCATTGACGGAATTTCTCGGAGAGAGCTTCGGGGTGGAATCGGTGGTGGTCCGTACACACGAATATGGCCGTTTACACGGCCCTCTGAGTAAGGAATCGCATTCTCATTGCTGTAGAGTGTGGAAACCTTCGGTGGAACTGCACCCTCAGCACGGCTGGCTGATGATGCCTGGCGATTGTGGCTCATTGTGCGAAGTGGTGTATGAAACTTGATAGGGCCTGCCGGTTTGTACAACTTGGGCTCATCTTCAGCGTACATCTGAGCCCCCTCGCGTACATGCCCTTTCGGCATGCTGGGCTTGGCGTATCTCACCTCCATCATCTGTCTAACAGGCGCGTGAAGATCACTATTGGATGCGTTTGCCGAGAGATAGGTCTTCCATTCAACAGAGCTGGCATATGACGCGGTTCTGGCCTCAGTGTCGATGGGCATTGTCGGTACGTGTGTCAAAGGCTCACATGGCGTATGAGACCGCGACCTTCCGTGGGAGCCAGATCTAGTGGATGCGTTTGCTGCACGCTCAGTAATGTCCGAGTAGCAACTCTTAGAATGCGTGAGCCCGTTAGTCCTGGAAGACGACCCGACACTCGGACGACGAGGACGAATAGCGCCGGGAGCAACTAACGCCGACGTTAGAAGTTCCGACGAGAGAAGCTGGGGCGACAACAGCCTCGGTGACACGGGTTGGTCAGAATAGATGCTGTCCGAATAGGCCAGACGGGGGTCATCGCCAGAGAGACTTGGATGGCGTCTCGTGGATACCAGATCCAGATTCAGCTCGGGAGGCGCAGATGACTCAGAGCTGCTCTCCTTCATTGACTTCTGCAATGCTCGACGGTAAGGACTTGTAGTCCGGAACAAGTGGCATGTCGGGCTGCCAAAGAAGGCCGAGCTTCGAGTAGATAGCGTTTTCGGAGCAGCCGAGACCTCTCTAACGGTGACAGGCAGAACCTTTTTCTCGTCACCTACTGCAGGTCCAGGATACGGGCTGTAATGTGCGCCCGTGGGAGCGGTCCTCGTGGGATAGTGGATGACGCTCCCGGATTCCGAAAATGAGCCATCTTCCGTCGTCTCCGCAATGCCGACAGGAGGAATCTGAGTCGGCGGACCATCCCGGAAAACGTCGTCTTCTGGCCGTACACATCTGATTGTTGGCGGGCTGTCATCCAGAGACCTTCGTAGTTTCTTTGCCTCCTGCTTCTGGAAGTCCTCGCCGCTGGCCTCTCGCATGTTCTCTTTTTGGTTAACCTCATACAGCCGATTCATCAGCGCAGAATACACCCTCTGGCTGTCGACTGCTGGAGGAGCAGGCGGGCCACTCGGTTTCTCAGGAGACACGGTCTCGAACTCGTAAGGGCTGCGTTCGTCTATGGTCGGTCGACGAAACGATGACGATGAATAATGTGGCCCATTTTCCTTGATGACGGACAGCCTCTGTCGATCTCTTTCCCCGCCCCAAGTGCTTTGGCTGTTAAGAGTGTGCGTTCCTGAGCTTGTCCAACTTGTGACTCGAGACTTTTCATCGGACTGATCATCCGAGACTTTCCTGAGGCTTTCGATGCTCTCTATGCTGCCTTGACGAGATCGAAGCTGCTGAGCGGACGATGAGGCATGGAGAGAGGGTACGCGTGATGGAACCTGGGAGATCGAACACTCGTCCAGCACTGGGTCGTCAATATCCATATAGGCGTCCTCGTCTATGTCTCTGTCGCCTTCGTCGTGGCTTCCGACCCCTGCTTGTGAATCCATTTTCCCCTCTGGCCCTTGCCCATCATTCTTGGTGAGCCCGAAGAAAGACTTTAGCCTAGTTTTGAACCCACTGGAGACTTTTCGGGCTTTCTTGCGAAGGGAGCCGTTGCGCTTCGGAACCGCAAGGTTGCCTGCTAAGGGATCTCTCATGGATTGACGAATGCCCTCCTTGTTTGAAGTGAACAACCTCGAGGTACGGCTTTGAAGGGGTGCTTGTCCGTCTCCACCGAAGTTGTTTCCGCTGTTTTCGCCTTCACTGGCATTCGTCCGAAGGTTGGATCTTGTTCCCGCGGACTTCAGGAAGCTCATGGACTTTGGCGCTCTGAGACTGCGGTTTCTTTTTGGTGACTTGTTCTCCTTGATGTTCTGCATCGACTTCCGCCTGAGTGCAGGTGTGGGATTTCCTTGCTCCGGAGAATTGCTGAAGTAGTACTTTGGCGTGGGAGTCTGACCTGTTGGGGAGAACATGGATCTAGACTTGCGGAGCTTCCTGTACGAACCTGGGACCGATGCGCACTCGTCTACCGGTCTGTAGGACTCGGCAGGAGGCAGAGACTCGACAAATTTGGCTGTGAATGGGTTGAAGCACGGCGATTCATCGGTCTTCTGGGCCGCTGCGCAATTCTGCTGGTTTTCGATACGACCCAGAACACTTCGGCGTCGGGAGATGCCGGTGCCATTGGCGGCATCGTTCTTGCTTGACTTGGCAAACCGGACGCTCTTCTGTCGCCGGAGTCCGTTCTCATCGCAGGTTCCGTCCAGCGTCCCCTGCTGGCTACCAGAGTCTCCGGAGTACTCTGTGAATACCGATCGCAGTGGAGGATGGTGTGCCGTTGGGACCATGGTAGGAGCGGCCTGACACCAAGAGAGAGTAGCAGCAAGATGCGCGTCTCTATCAGCAATGGCGGGGTCAATATGTTCCAACCTCTCCAGGGCTGAGCGGAAAGAAGTTATCGATCTGGCCGACTTGGACCTGCTCACCCCCGAGGTCGACTTATTGCTGTTGCTCCGACGCATCTGGGCCGGCTTCTGTAGGAGAAATCAGAGGCAGGGTAAGAGAAGAGTACAGTAGGTATGGAGGTGGTGAGCAGTGTAGAGAATTCAGATGAGGCTGCTGATGGTTAAGTGCGATGGTAGCTAACCAAAAGCGAACCGCGAGAGCGTCGGAAGATCGAGGATGTTGTATATCGGTTCATGGAGGTTGAATGCGGGAGAAGAAGAGGCGAAGTGGCGGAGTGGTTGTAAGCCAGGCAATGCAATGCCTTGGGGGTGACGCCGTGTAGGACTGGGAAGGAACTCCATGATTGCTCTTTCCACGGGGCTGAGTGAACTCTGAGAGAAGAGACGAGAATGGAAGGACCGTTCAACCAGCGCCAGAGGCAGGAGAATGGCAGAAGGGGGCCTGATCCCTGGTTTGAGCAGGCATGAGGTGGCGCTGGCAAGCGCCAGCTGTTGTGTCATTCCTTCCCGTGATGGAAGACACAGCATTCCAGTCCCAGCACGCTGTTCAACGGGCAAAACGGCAAAGTGTAAACCGACTTATCGATATGGAGGATCGATCATGTAGAAACCATGTGCTGCCGTATGTCTTACGCAGAGTATTCCAGCCCTCTCGAAGGGGGTTGGCGGCGATCTGAGAGAGTCAAGCATGACCCATAAGGCTGTCCAAGCTGACCATCACCAAGCCGAATGGGGACAACTGCCTGGCGGCTTACTCACATAGTTGAACAAAGTTTGCCAACATCATGCTCAGTTGGTTGGCTTGGCTGGGGTTACTAAGAGAGTTGGGACGAAGGGACTACACACCTGCCACATGTCATCACAGGTTCACAACTCAATCACTGGTTCAAAGCGCGTCAAGGTTCTGATAAGTAAGGAGACTTAATTCGTGCTGTGAGATCTGTATGTAGCCATGAAGCAATGCATTCCCATCCTAACCCATCCTGCAATGTAACCCTATGCGTACACTGTCATTGACCCAGAAAAACGTAAGGAAATAAATTAGACCAGTCTAGCGTTCTATTTAGACGCTTACAAGGAGGTCTCCTTGAGGAACTCCTTCAGCTCCTCATCCACGAGCTCGTGGATCTTCTTAGCGAACTTCTCAGCCTTAGTACCGACAGTCTTGGCGCCCTTGACAACCTTGCCGGAGAGAACCTCGAAGTCCTCCTCAATGGCCTTCTCGAGGTCGTCAATGGTGACCTCCTTGGCCTGCTGCTTGACAGTGTAGCCACCAGCCTCGACGATGGCAGAGTAGTTGTTGCAGCCACCGCCGTTCCAGGCGAGGACGTTGGGGGTGTCGCGGGGAATGTCAGCGAGAGCGCCGACGGTACCGACGGAGATCAGAGCCTTCTTGAGCTTCTCGGGGGTGATGGCAGCAACAGCGTACTCAGAGTCAGAAGCAGGCTGGAGAGAGAGGTAGTAGGCAAGGAGACCGCAGATGTGGGGGGAGGCCATGGAAGTGCCGGAGATGGTGTTGACGGCGTACTTGGAGCCAATCCAGGTGGACTTGATGTTGGTGCCAGGGGCGAAGATGTCAGTGCACTTGCCGTAGTTGGAGAAGTAAGAGCGGCGGTCACCGAGCTCAGTAGCACCGACGGTGACGGCCTTCTCGGCAGCAGCGGGGGAGTAGTTGCAGGCATCAGCGTTGTCGTTGCCAGCGGCGACGGCGAAGTGGATACCAGCATCGACAGCAGCGTTCACAACAGCGTCCAGAGCCTGGGTCTTGCCACCACCAAGAGACATGTTGGCGACGGAGCCCTTGAAGCCCTTGCGCTTACCGTCCTTGGCAGACTGGACCTGCTCAGTGTGGGAAGTGGCAGCCCACTCAACACCCTTAACGACGTCGGACATGGTACCAGAGCCGTTAGAGCGGAGGACCTTGACGGCGTAGACATTGGCCTTCTTGGCGACACCGTACTTCTTACCGGCGATGGTGCCGGAGCAGTGAGTGCCGTGGCCGTTGCCATCGACGTCCTGGTCACCAGAGGGAATGGTCTTGCCCCACTTGGCACGGCCCTCGAAGTCGACGTGGTCGACGTTGGTTCCGGTGTCGATAACGTAGGCATCAACACCCTCACCGGCATCACCGGCGTACAGGTACTTGTCGTAGGTACCGAAGCCCAGAGACTTGCGGTGGGAGATACGGGCAAGACCCCAAGGAGCAAGCTTCTCAAGCTCGCCGTCGCACTTGTCCTCAACCTGGGACTTGACAGGGACCTGGGTGTGGACCACGGAGTCGACCTCGATGAACTCGACCTGTAGATGGAGTTGTCAGCGATGGCTCGATAGCAAGGTGATAAGACGACAGCCGAAGCTATCCGACCGGAGCTCGGTGATGCGCCGCCAAGCGAGGGTGGGTCTCGCGGTGTTTGGGCAGTGTCAGGATGGTCGGACTTACGTCAGGGTGTCTGCGGATCTTCTCGATGGTGTCCTCGTCGAAGTGACCGGCGTAGCCCAAGAAGTCCTTGCCGATCTTGTAGGTGTGCTTCAAGCCGTGGAAGACGTCAGAAACCAGAGGCTCTTGGCTGCGCTTGCGAAGCTCGAGGCGCTCGTCCTGAGCGGAGGAGTGAATCTGCTGGACCCAGGTGTGGTGGTCTGAGGCACCGGACTCCGATACGTGCTTCTTGAACTTGATGATGTACGAGTTCGGGACGGCCTCGGCATTGGTGGCAGAGAGGACGGGAGCCATGCCGTCGTGGACGGTCTGAATGGAGAGGGAGGGGGTGGCGCTGGCAACAGCAGCCAGGCCGGCAACGGCACCGACGAAGCCTCTCATGATGGCGGTTGCGATACGGTAACGAGTCTAGAGTCTACCGGAGACGTTTGCAAACAAGACGAAGGAAATGAAGTTACTGAAAAGCCGCCCTAGAACGACGAATACGCGATGGGTTGAGAGAGGATGGAGTCAATGGAAGAGAGGGAGGGGGATGAGAGAGAGATGGAGCAAGCAAAATGGGGGAAGCTTCGGAGAGCGGGTGCGGGTAGATATAAAGGGAAGGCAGCGACGGCGGTTGCGTGCGCACAGCTGTTGGTGAGGTAAGGAACCTGTTGCGATGGATGGGGACCTGGCAGGTACACTACCTCCACTCCCACACAGCGAGGTACCTCCCTGGTGCAGGTCGCGCAGTGTTCGTGGAGTCCGGCGCAAGCAAGTACCTTACCAGGCTGCTATCGGCCGGTCTTAGGACGGCTGCGCGCCCTCCCATTGTGACGCAGCCGACTAAGATAAGAGCTGGGGAGTGGCTGAAGAGGCCGAAACCGGCTTAGCGTTGGGGCGAGGGAGCCAATGGAATGACTCGATAGGGTTTCCTCGGCGATGCGATAAGGGAGGGTCGCGTTTGGGGTTTCCCTGGGACGCTCAGCAAGGCACCTGGTTCGATACGGAAGGCTGTTTGGGATGGGAAAGTGCGTATGGACGATAGCGAGGTACTTTCTCTGCGACTCACGCGAGTGCCCTTTCCGTCAGGTACACCTACCTTGCTACCTACCTTCCATACCTGTTGGGGCAGGAAGCACCCACTGGTTGACGTCCAGTTGCCTCCTTCCACGGCACCGAACGGCCATGGAAGCTTCATCTCAAGCTCCCGTCCATCAGTCTGATCAGCCAACAGTTTCTTTCTTTGGTCTATTCATCTGAATCAGCCTCGTGATTCACTGTTGGGGTTGCGATAAGCCAACAATTCTCTTGCTCTCACGCTCTCTGGGCTCGCACAAGCAGCAAGGTCCGGACAAGACTGCAGCTGGAGAGTCAGAGTCGCAGCCAAAACCCCCGACGTCATCATACTCTGTACCCCGACAGCCAAGGCGGTCGCGAAGTTACTGCGGCAATCAACCACCGCGTCGAAACATGGGCAGGCAAACAGCGTGGCCGAACAGCCCTGGAATCCTCCTCGACCCATGCTTCTGACAGCGTATCCTAGCATCGTCAAGGAGCTATTGAATGCGGTGTCGTCCATCCAGACGGTGTCACCCTGGAAAGAAAAAGCAAGCAGACGAAGACAGCTCGACGCCAACGCAAGGTACCTGCTCTGCCAGCCAGCCAGCCAGCCAGCTCACCACAACACGGCCTTCGCCGCCGCCCAGCCTCGGACACTTTGCTGCTGCTGCAGCCAAGTCATGTACCGCACTATCAGGTCTCCTCATGCATTCTTCACCCAGCTTGGAGAGCTCTCCCCTCCCAACCCACCAGGGGCATCCACACAGTCCGCATATCCCGCATAGCGCTGCATGCGATAACGCGCAATGGGCGATTCACATTCACGCAGCGGAGAGCGAGGCAGATCTATCCGGAGGACCCTGAAGCTTAACAAGCGCTGCCATCCCGTCTTATCTCGACACTCGAAGCTTTCGTCGTTTCGTTGAATTGTGCTACCGACCACTCACAGGGATGGGGAGCCGCATCGCCGTCGTGTTCAGAAAACCAGACAGTCCGTATTACCCTGTCACCGTCTTTTTCACCTTCAATCTACCTTCCTGGGCCTGTTGATCTGACCTCGGAAGGGCGGAGGGACAGGGCATGTCGGGCATGTCACTGGGAGTGCGACTGCGGCTTCGGTCAGCGAGCTACCCTTAGCTTGTTGTGCGGCACCGCTATGCGGCCAGCACCGTACCAGCCAGGGCGGCGAGCAGCAAGTCAGGCTGCGTATCGCACCGCCCGCCCCATTGAGCATGTAACTTGCTCAATGATGATGTGATTAACTGTAATAAGGTATCCGGCGCAAATGGGTCTCACGGGGTCTCACGGGGACACTGCCAGGCCGGGGATTGAAGGCGAGGCGGGAGAACTCAAGGTCTGCGTAGCCACTGGAGCTCTCGCTGTTCGTCTCACCCGCTGCTGTCCGGCGGCTGTTGCTCAGTGCTGATGCTGGGAGCTATGCTCAATCCTCAAGGTACCTTTGCCTCGGTCGCCTGCTAGACGAGCTGGTCAAAGGGCAAGCTCCGGCCCAAGAGGTACCTTGAAGGGGCGGCGAGCTGTCTGACTGGAACATGGAGGCGGGGAGGCGAGGCCCAGCACCAACGCTACGCTGATCCGAGCTAGCCCACACGCCTGACCCACTGGTCAGATGGTACGCCCCCGTGTGTGCCTGGCACGTGCCTCACATTTCCCCTGCCTTCCCGTCATCGGGGGGCATTTGGCGTGAGAGCTGCCTGAGCTGCCTGAGTGAGAGGGACCTTGGTGCTTGGCTGGGGAGCTCCCTCCGAGCTGGATTGTCCCTGTTTGCCCGTAGCGAGTGGAGGAGACGGAACGCCGAGCAAGTCTGGGGTCACTCGAGGAGTCATCCAGGTCCTCGAGGGACGAATGGCGAAAAGGACGCGATCAAGGCCGATTGCGTTGCTCCTCCGGTCCTGCAGGAACTGCCAGCAACGACTTCGACGCCATCAGCAACTTGACACTTTGGAGGCGAATAAACATTGTTTACCGCGCGCGGTCGTGCTCAGAAACGCCATGAGCTTGCGAGTCGTTGTCAATGCGAAAACCGCATCTCACCACACCATCTCGTCTCACCCAAAGACATAATTGGGCCATTCGCGCCGACTAGATATGGATGCAGCCAGTACGCGTGTCGTTGTCCAAAGGCCAGAGACAAGGACAATGACCCGGATTGACACACCATCCAGCTGGCAACACTTGATGCGGACTAGATCCATGCCATCCATTCTGGCGAACAGCGAACAACGAAGGTGTTGCCGAATTCCAGCAACCATCTGCCTTTGGATCTGTGCCAACCATCGCTGAACACTCCATCCTGCGCTTGGTGAGTCTCGTGTCTTGGTGTCTGGGAGGAGGCGGACTGAAACCACCCATGTCGCCCAAGCTTCTTCCCAGATGCAGCAGGTGTGCAAGTGTTCAGCAATGGCAACTGCGCTTCAAATGCCAACGGCAAGATCCCCGATCCCCGGAACCGATGATCGCTCAAGCAACCCCCGGTCAAGGGAGTCATGACACATGGCCATTTGACCCGACTTTGTCTCTTGTTCGCGTCGTTGCATTATAATTGTAGCTAGCGCTGGATACGATGGTAGATGGCTACTGACTCAAAGGATACAAAGACTGATAGGCCGTCACGTACTGATTCGTGTTTCCAGCACTTCTAGCTTTTGGAGGGTTTCATGCATCAAAGAGGGTGTTCAGTCGAAATACCTTGATAAAGGTCACAGTACAGCCCAATGGCTCTTTCGCCTGCCAATCCAGGCAGTGAAGACACTGGCGTCAGCTATCAAACGGTCAAACCTCAGGCCGAGCTGATGGTCGAGCAGGACGTCGTTGCTCAACTTGGCACATGGAAGTAGCGCGCTCGAACGGGATTGAAGCAGTCATGTTTCATGGGTTCCACACTGCTGTCTACTGGAAGCTCTCACTGCGCAGAACCGCTCCGGAATGCGTCCGTCTATTCATGTGTCAGCAGCAAGGCGAACCTTGTTACGGACCGAGCACGCCCAGCTCGGTTTCTAGAATATTTCGCTTTTCTTGGTACCGATTCAACACGAGGGCGTCCGGCTGTTGAGTTCCTATGTGTCAAGTGCTGACCAGCAGAGATGCAATGGTTTTGGGATGATGGCTTCTTGTAACATGCTCAACCCACAGTGACGTCCCGCCAAATGCTCTGGTTTGATTGTCAAAGCAGCAGTAGCAGCAGCTGTGCCATTAATAGCACGGCGTATCGATATGGTCTCTGAGCTGAGCTAGGTGCCTTTGCGACGGAGACGAACCGGGAACAGGGACCCGACGTCAACGCGGGCCTAGCAAATGGGCTCCAAGTGCTTCAGTGGTTGACATGCCGAGTGATGGTGACCGCAGTGGCTCGTTCAGTGGAGCTGGCCTACTCGGCAGGTCTCAGTAACCGGGACAGAACGCTGAACACTGTGAAATCCTTCAGCAATGCACCGCCACCATTCCTACCCCACTCCCGGCTCAGCATGCGGTCAGCACACTGCACCGACTGGCAGTGGGCGCCAGACCTGCTCCTGCCCGCGGGCTGCCGTTGAGTGGTGCCTCCCACGTCTGCCGCTGCGTCCCGCTCTTGGACCCAACGAGGCGGCCACTGAGAACGGCCCAAGCCACACCGCGCGCCTCGAGGCTGACACTCGCAGCTCGCCCAAGCCAGCTCCGTCTCCGTCTTCGTGATAAAGCGCAGCTATTGGACGTCATTGGAGCATTTTGAGCTCGCTCTATTTTATCGTCATATCCACCGACTGCACTCTTATCCTTGGGCGGGACCGGTTCGAAAGTCGATTAATCCTCTACGCCTGCGTCTCCCTCCGAACCCGACACCCGTCCGTTTCTGAGCCTCGAGCTGCGACGCCAATCCAAAAGCCGTATCCTACTTCGATGCCGAACAGTTTTGACGACTGCCTGGACCCTCGATGGGTGCTGGGAGCGAAGAATTTGGAATGAAAGGATCGTCGACTTGAACACCGGTAGCCACAAGAAATATTTCAAATCATGGCGACGCTGCAAGTATCGAGGAGATATCGCTCCTCCACCTCTGCGTCCTCTCACGCAGTTACCTCCAAGGCTACCGAGATCCTGCGCGGCATGCTCGAAGATTTAGCGAACGGCCTGCGACAACGAAAATCGACCGACGGCTACCCCGAATTTCCCGTACTGCTCAAGAGCCTTCGCCAGATCCGTCAGCACATTGCCGCCACCGAACCGCCAAGCCCGCCCCAAGATGACTTTCGACACCTGCGCGGCTTCACGCAGCTGCTCGACGTGCTGCGATCCTTTTCGGGATTCTACAACCCCCAGCGACGAACAGATGAGGAGAAGAATGGATTATTTGGACTACTCGAGGCCGTGCTGGACGTCTTCGCCGCGGCATTCCACGACCACCCTGGGAACAAACGCTATTTCCGTCATCGAGTCGAAGGAGGTGGGTGGGAGGCTATCGAACAGACTATCGCCAGCGTGGGGCTTGGAGGCAGCGACTCGGACCTGTGGACAAATTGTCAAGTGTTTGGCAAGCTTCTGGCTTTCTCGCTGGGCGACAAGAAAGTGGACGCTTTATGCCAGTCGATTGCATCTACGCCCACGACGGTCGAGGATGCCAAGCCGGAGCCAGAAAAAGGGGCCGAGGACGATGCGACAGAACAGACAACGTCAACACCCCAAAAGACGAGAGACTATGCCCAGGAGGTACGCGACATCGTCCAGAAGAAGGCCGTCTTCCGTAATCCCGAAATCCTGCGCGCCGTCGTCGGCTTTTGGGAGTCAATACCAAGAGCGGAGGACATGCCGGCCAACCCCTGTTCGATGATCGTTCTCGAGATCATGTCAAGTGTGGTCTCAATCTCCCTTTTCAATCTGTCCGCGCTACATACCACTGGCGTTCTCTCTCGCTTCTTGAGGGTCGTCTTCGACCCCGAGCCAAGATTAAGCCAGCCTGAAAAAGACAAGCTTCTTATTCTGTGCAAAAAGCTCATGTACTTGGGCGTCAACCAACCATCAGACACCCAGTTCCTACTAGCAAATCCTTCACCAGAGGCATCAGAGTTCTGCTTGGAAATGGCGTCAAGCTACACTGGACCCCCTTTCTTTCAATTCGACCTCTCTCTACATGGCCACTCTTCCATCGAGCTACCTACGCTGGGCCGCTCATTTCCGCCAAGCTCATCCCCCGGCTATACCTTTACAGCATGGATACGCGTGGACAGATACGATCCCGCAGCTCACACTACACTCTTTGGTGTCTTTGACGCCACCCAGACATGCTTTCTTCTGATGTACCTCGAGAGGGATACCCACAACTTCATCTTGCAGACCTCTGTTACGTCCAGTCGCCCAAGTGTTAGGTTCAAGGGTATGGCCTTCAGAGAAAAGCAGTGGTACCATCTTGCCCTTGTTCACAGACGGCCAAAGACAATGACTGCAAGTAAGGCTTCTCTGTACGTCAATGGCGAGTTTGTTGAGCAAATCAAGTGCTCCTACCCCTCTCCACCACCATTCACAAATGGCAGCACTGAAAGCTTTGCCTCTTTCGCATCTGCCAATGCCAAATCGCATCCTGTTCAAGCGTTTCTGGGTACTCCAAGAGATCTCTCCAGCCAGGTTGGCGCAGGATTGGTGTTTTCCAAATGGTCCCTTGCATCTGCGCATCTCTTCGAGGATGTCCTCAGTGACGACTTTCTTGCTGTTCACTATGGTCTATCGCCAAAATACCAAGGCAACTTCCAAGATAGCCTCGGCGGCTTTCAGACTTACGAAGCCTCCGCCTCTCTCGGCTTGAGGAATGAAGTGTTCCATCCTGGCAGAGACGAAAGCTCCGATATTATTAGGGCTATTCGCGATAAGGCTGGAAGTCTACTACCAGAGGTGAAGATTCTGCTCGGCATCGTTCCTGCAGGCGTATTCAGAGAGGATGGCGTGTATCAAGATACCCAGCTGTACCGCGCATTGCCTCGAAGCGCGGCAACCAACCTCATCCAAATGACTCATAGGACCGGCTCGACCATCGCGGTCAATACTGCTCTGCCCTGTCTTCTTGACGCCTTGGCACGATCCCATGGAATCGCTGTCATGACCGGAAGCCCTGTGGCCGCCACGCCCTCCTACTTCGATGATAACTTCTGGAGGTTGGCTGGGTTTACTCCACTTGCTCTCAAGATCGTGGAGCGTGCGGCTACGGTAGAGGAGACTGTGCGGGCAGTTGAGATGACATTTCTCTGCATCCGGAAAAGCTGGAGAAACAGTGAGGCCATGGAACGCGATAACGGCTACGCAATCCTCGGCATGCTTCTCAGAGCCAAACTAGGCTACACCGTCAACCTCGGTGCCGATAATGCGAACTTGCGGCTGCCTATCTCGAGCGAGGAGCGAGACCGTTTGAGCTTTCAGCTCTTGAGCCTCGTCCTAGACTTTGTGGGATACAAGCACGCTGAGCCCCTGGAGTCATTCATTGTCAACCCTCTGGCATATCGCATCCTACTCATTGACTTCGACACTTGGCGGCGGTCGGCTCCAATCACCCAAGAGCTCTACTACAAGCAGTTCGTGACATTCTCCGTCAAGAGCAAATACCATCAGTTCAACAGCCGGCGGCTGATGCGTATGAGTAAGTTCGAACAATTGCTGACATGTAGATCAACACTAATCCCTCTAGGAATCGTTAAACGACTACTTGATGCTATGAAGGCAGAGTCAATTTCAGAAGAGGTGCTGCCTCATTTTATGAGCGCTCTGGAGCACCTTGTCAAATGCAACTACACGGCGGAAGTGCATCGCTCTCTCGCCCTTTTTATCACATACGCCTACCACTCGCCCATCGCATCTCTCGTCAGGACCCCCCGACCCGCCTCCGCCATCACTCGATCCCCCACTCCCGGATTTGCCAGAAGGGCTACATTTGATTCTAACAGTGCCTCGAGCAACACAACATCTAGATTCCTCACGAAGAAGCAGTTAGGTGCCAAGATTCTTGGGATGTACTCTATTCTCCTTTGTGAGAAGGGTAACAAGGCCAACATCAGCAAGTTCGCCAGAACAGTGACCAATAAGGTGAGACCGCCGCCTGACGAAAACCAATTATATTTATTGAGCATGGACCAGTGGTTACTGTATCTCTTGGCGAGCGACGACTCCGAGACTGTAATGAATGGCACCAAGATCTTGGCCAGACTGCTCGTTACCCACGGCTCCACGTATACGTCGAAATTCTCGGGTAAGACGGGCGGCTTCACTATTATGGCGCACCGTTTGAAGCGCTGGTGGTATATACCTTCCTTGTGGCCGATTTGCTTCTGCATCTTCTTTGGCTTTGATGTGGCTGAGATCGACTTGGAGCGGAACTTTGAGTTCTCCAGCTTGCTTGAGACGTTTGGCAAGTCTAGAATCACCTACCCGGAGAGCCTCCAAGTCATCACGTCGATGCTGCAGCATGGACTCAAGGATGTCATGAAGCATCAGGAAGACCCGAACTCCCCACACTCTCCTCAGAAACTACAGAACCTTCAGGCAAGCGGCTTCGAGGGATTGGAGACCCGACCACGGGCAAAGTCGATGGAGACGAGAGGCCTCGACTCAAGAGGTATGCGCGTCCTCCAGCGACTCTCGGCGTAGCTAACAACCTGCAGAAAACGCCCAACGCGAAAGCGAAAGGATATCTAGCAACGCGCCCATGCTTCATACGGTCATCCGGTTTATGGCAGACCTGCACTCTCGCTCTCAGGAGTTTAGGGACTTCGCCCTCACGTCGGAGTATGTGAGATACCTCCTTTGGGCCGCGTATCCGATCATCGTCAGCACCGACGCCGTTACACCGGACACGGAACTCAACTCGCGGGACTCTGCCTTGACGTTTGAGGGCGGCGACGTGATGATCCGTCCTCTTGCTGGCTCCCAGCCTGGACCCATTGTCCGCACGACAAGCACAGATGCTGTTGCTACTCTTGCAGGCAATCCGCGCGGAACCCCTCTGCGGAAAGCATCCGGCTTCGTTCTGCTCACGAATCAACAATCTCCCAAGGCACCCAGTTCTGCGAGATTCGCACCAGTCATGTCGCCAAAGAAGAAACTTGCCTCGCAGCAATCAAGCAGCGCGACCCTGGACGGCCTATTGGAGTTGGTCATTAGCGTCTTCATCGACCAGGTCTTCACTCGGAAAGAGTTTCCAGGCTTTGGTTTGTTCCTGAAGATTCCGCCAGGCTTCCAAGAGCACCAGGCGTATTTTGAGTCTTTCGTGCTTAGAAACACGCTCCAGCGCCTCGGGACTCACATACAACCAAACCAAAAGGTCTTGTGTGAGCCCAAGATCCTCACCAACATGGGCCGTCTCGCCGCTCATGTCACGGAGTCAATATTTGAGGGCTGGTTTATTAATGGCACAGAGCCAATGTTGGAATTTGCTGGCATGGTGCTGGAGTATCTCCAACGGCCAGAGGTCGCCAGCGTCAAGAGCGTTCGTCTCTGCAGCCAAGCAGTGTCTACAATACGCCAGTGCTTCCTTAAGCTTCTGCTCCTACGCTTCTCCGAACTGGATGACCCCGATACGCCGGACTCCGGCGCCAAGGACTTCATGAGCAAGATTCTTTACTGGCAGGCGCCTATTCTCGGCTGTCTTTCTAACGAAGAGGAGTTTATGAAGCTCTTCTGGTACCAGCTTTATACAAAGCTTGTCGACTCGCGGGCCTCCATTCGGTCTGCCGCGGCAACCATCATGCGCATCATGCTGGTTCAGAAACCAGATGAAGCCAAGGTTCTCTTCCGGCAATGCGTGCAACCGGACCAACAACACCTTACGAAGGAATTCGCTGTTAAGCTCACTGAAGTCGACGATGACACGTTCATCGAGTGGGTGGACAAGCACCGCGCTTCGTTGGATGCCTTCTTCTTTGGGGGGATATCAAAAGCATGGGAGGAGTTTGTGGCTGTCGAAAACCAGCGAACTATAGATTCGGCTAAGTACCGTTTGGCAAAACGCAGGGATCGGCTCAAGGCATGGCAGACAGAGTCACTGACTATGGATAACGTGCTTTTGCGGCACGACATGGCGAACGGGGCCTGGATGAAGAGCATCTTCAACAGCGAGCATTTCAAGCACCAGCGTCTTACTCAGGACCAACAGGATGACATGGCTTATCTGGCTGCGGCATTCCTGAAGATGGACCTGGATCTCAAACGGCCCGGTGCGGTCTTTGCTGAGCAGACTCAGTTGAAGTGGAAGCTCGATCGTACCGAGGGCCGCAACAGAATGCGGTTGAGACTTCTTCCGGATTATTCAAAGAAACACTCAGACTACCAGCCAAAGCGCAGAGCAGGTGAAGCTCCGTCAACGCCATCCTCCCTCAAAGTCAACACCAACATGGCTCCGGCCCAGATATCCCCGTCTCCGGTTAAGCCAGCCACGCCAGCATCGTCACAGCTACAGCTTGGCCTTGATGGCGCCAAAGATACTACCGATTCGCCCCCGGATACAGAACAGGAAGAGGAAGCCAACGAGTCCGCTGTAGCCACTGAAGAGGACTTTGAGTTGGTCGACGACCCCAATGATGCCAACGAGGGTGACGATGGCTTCGAAGACAAGAACCGCAAGGTTATGAGGCGACTGGAGCAAGGAGATCAGGTCCAGGCGGTGTACAACATTTCACGCATCGTAGGCTTGGAAGGGTGTGAGGGTATCCTCATCATCGGCAAAGATGCCCTTTACATCATGGATAACGTCTTCCAATGCGCCTCTGGGGAGATTGTCAACGCATGGCAAGCTCCCCCTGAGGAGCGAGACCCGTTCTCTGAAATCATCACGGATGCGAAGACTACAGAACAGCGCCAGAGTTCCAGTAGAAGCGAACAAGAATCGCGGAGCTGGAGGTGGTATGACGTGATCAGTATCTCAAAGCGCAGATTCCTGTTCCGAGACGTCGCCATCGAGGTCTTCTTCACCGATGGTCGCAGCTACCTGCTGACCTCCATCAACCCCAATATCCGAGATGAAGTTTTTGGCAAGTTGATGAGCAAGGCGCCGCACACCAATGCTGCCAGCTCACTGCCCAACCCCGAAGATGCCTGGCGATTGGAGGCGCTGAAGGTATCTGAGGAACAGCCCCAAGGCTTTGGTTCCAAGTTTGGAAGTATTTTCAATTCGACGCCATGGAACCCAGCAATGAGGAAATGGCAAAAGGGCGAGATGTCCAACTTCCACTACCTGATGCTCGTCAACACTATGGCCGGTCGCACGTTCAACGATCTCACCCAGTACCCCGTCTTCCCGTGGGTCTTGGCCGACTACACGAGTGAAGAGCTCAATCTCAACGATCCAGCGAGCTTCCGAGACCTCTCAAAGCCGATGGGTGCCCAGACATCTGGTCGCGTCTCAGGTTTCAGAGAGTCTTATGATGCTTTGGCAGAGATTGGCGAGACTCCTTTCCACTATGGAACGCACTACTCCTCTGCTATGATCGTGTCATCGTATCTCATCCGTCTGCCTCCATTCGTCCAGTCGTATATCCTCCTTCAGGGCGGATCATTTGACCACGCGGACCGTCTCTTCCAGTCTATCCCTCATGCCTGGCAGTCGGCCTCTTGCGACAACAAGGCGGATGTCAGGGAGCTGATCCCAGAGTTCTTCTGCTTGCCAGAGTTCTTGACCAACATCAATCAGTACAACTTTGGTAACCGTGAAAGCACCGGCACCAAGGTCAATAATGTTGTCCTGCCGCCGTGGGCCAAGGGTGACCCGAAGATCTTTATTGCCAAGCATCGTGAAGCTCTCGAAAGCCCATACGTCAGCCAGAACTTGAACCAATGGATCGATTTGGTGTTTGGATACAAGCAAAGAGGCGACGCTGCCATCGACAACCTGAACGTCTTCCACCATCTGTCGTACCGCGGAGCAACTGATCTTGACAACATCAGCGATCCCCAAGAGAGGAGAATCACTGCCGGCGTCATCCATAACTTTGGGCAGACGCCTCACCAAGTCTTTACTCGGTCCCATCCTGCTCGTGAGCATGCATCATGCCCGATCAGGCGTCTGGATACATCCGTCTACGCCCTGACCAGGCTGTCCCACCCCCTCCTTGGTGAGTTATTCTTTTAGGGGGAGAAATCCAGCTAACACAAGGAACAGAATCGCACGAAAGGGTCGCATCACTCATCTACTCCCCCAAGATCGACCGGCTCATCTGCGCCTCGCCTTTCCGCCTGAATGTTGCGCCGTACGACAAGTTCCTTGAATGGGGCTATGCTGACAACAGTGTCCGGTTCTTCTTCAGCGACAACAGGAGGGTAAGAAAGCCCGGTACTTTCTCTGGACGAGCCTCAACTAATGATCAGAAGCCGGCGGGACTATTCGAAAACCTTCACATCGGCCAGCTATCTTGCGCCACTTTTGCGGACTCCAAGACCCTCATCACCGCCGGAGAGGATTGCGTTATTTCTGTCTATGCGGTTCACACCGCTCCTGGAAAGGTCGTGGACCTACTCCCTCGGAAGTCGCTCTTTGGACACCGCTCTCCTGTGACCAACATGGCCGTTTCCAAGTCGTTCAGCACGTTCGTCTCCGTGTCGACAGATGGCCAGGCCTTCCTTTGGGACCTCAACCGGCTGGAGTTCATTCGCAAGTTACCCCTCTCAAGAGCTGTGGAATGCGCTCGCATCAACGATGTCTCTGGAGAGATTATGCTGGGATCCGGGCCTAATGTGGTACTTTACACAATCAACGGCACAGTCATCCTCGACCAGAATGTCTGCGCCGAGCCGGATGACTATGTGCATGCTTGTGCCTTCTACGAGGGTGCGGGGAATGAGTGGCTGGAAAGCTGCCTCATATTCACGGGCCATAAGAGAGGCCGCGTGAACGTCTGGAAGAAGACCGCGAAGAACGGCAGGTGGATTCTGGAACTGCTTCGACGGTTAGACCATGTGGACCCACGATCGGAAGTGGGCGCCAATTACGATGCAGGCATTACATGCATCACTCCCATGCCGCAATGTGTCTACACCGGCGACGACGACGGGCGAGTGGTAAGATTTTTCCAATAAGTCGTGCTACAGAACGAATCACTGACAAAAATCGCAGTATGAGTGGAACTTGGTTCAGAGAGATAGATAGAGTCTACCCGATGAGCAATACCTCGACATGGTAAGCAGAGGTGACCACCGAAAAGCAAGCTGGTAAAGGGAAGCATAGCGGCGTCTACACGACCCGGCATAGAATTGGCGTTATCTTTGTCTTGTTTGATAGCCCTTCACAATAGCGAATTGGAGAGAGATCTAAGCGTGCTCCGCGCGCGCAAGAGAATTGATAGAACTTTGCATATTGGGTAGTGTACAGCTTGAGCACCGTGAAATGTCGGCGTTCCCCCAGTGGAAGCAGGCCTTGTCCTTTTAGCGACGTGATTCTGGCTCGGCATGCCTCCGGCCACTCGCTCTTTCCTCCCTGCTTTGCTGTCTAAAGCCCAGACGCCGCCGTATTTACATGTTGTGATTTTTTTGTCATTCGCTCGGATGAAGCCAGGTATCTTTTGGGGGTGCTCATTCGTCGTCGTAGCCGGTCAACTGCTTCCTAGGTCCCGAAGGAACTGCACCATTGTTGTTAGCACTTCAGAATCGTGCTGGGACAGAGCCCAGAATCGAGGTTTGCATGGCGCACATGCGGTCGAACTCACCAGGGTATGAAACGGGGATGGGGGGCGCGTTGTAGTCGCCGACGAGGTTCCTCAAGGGGGGCACGACGGCCACGGAGATGGGGCCGAGGGCGCCGAGGACGACGGACCAGAAGTAGGCGGGCTTCTCGCGGGAGGACCAGCGGAGGTAGCGGATGGGCCCGGCCCAGAATCGGGGGGATGCGGCGGACATTTTCGGCGCTGAGGGAAGTTAATTAGCTTCTGCGAGGTGGGAAATGGCGGGGGCCGGGTTTTGCGTACTCAATTGACCGTGGGGGTAATGTCGTCGGGTGCTTGATGCGATAGCTGGGGGATGGTTTCGATGATGCCGAAGCTCAGAATAGAGCCGCATGGCCGGCCGGAGAGTGTCGGATTAACTGTGGCCGGATTAACCTCAACCTCGAGGGTTGTCCCAACCGGGGCGGGCGCTATCTCCACTGGCCGCGACTGCTCTACCCCTGTTGGCGACCACACTGGTGCGCCAGCTGCCGACTCCCACCCACTCTGCCGTGGATTCTCCGACAGTCTTGGCAACGGCTACGTATCCCCAAGCTTCAAGACACATGCACCAAAAGTGCTGAAGCTCTTCCCGTCGCAGCGCTACGCAACGCAACCGCACCACAGCTGTGCGCCGACTTTCCCTTTTTCTTTTCCTTCCCACCACCCACGAACAAATACCCCCAAGAGCCAGACCGCAGGCTTGTTCTTCCGTTTGTTTTTGGCCAATTGCACAATGCGGTCTCTTCTCTCGCTTTGTCTGCTGTTCCTGGCCGCCGCCGTGCACGCTGTCAGCGTTGCCGGCGGCCGGCTGCTCGCCATCATGGACGACGTCGCTGAGAAGGAGACGTACTCCAAGTTCCTCGGAGACTTGGAAGGTGAGCTGCCTCTCTTGCTTATGAGAGCTTGAAATCAGCTGTAGGAAGAAGATTGGCTAACCAATTGGTGGGCAACCTTGCAGGCCGCGGATTCAGCATCACATACGAGTCGCCCAAGAGCGAGTCTCTGCAACTCTTCAAGCTCGGCGAGCGAGTCTACGACCACGTCCTGCTCTTCCCCTCCAAGATCAAGGGCCTCGGCCCCAACCTGACCCCCAACATCCTCCTCCAGTTCATCAACGCCGACGGCAACATCCTCCTCGCCCTCTCCTCCGAGGCCACCGTGCCCAGCTCCCTCGTCAGCCTCCTCGCCGAGCTCGACATCGCCCTGCCCGCCGACCGCACCGGCCTCGTCGTCGACCATTTCAACTATGACGCCCTCAGCGCCCCCGAGAAGCACGACGTCCTCGCCCTCCCCGCCCCTGCCCCGCTGCGCGCCGGCCTCAAGACCTACTTCTCCCAGGACGGCGAGATTGTGGCCTTCCCGCACGCCATCGGCCACGTCCTCGGCGCCGGCCAGCTGCTCACCCCGATCGTGCGCGCGCCCAAGACGGCGTACAGCTACAACCCCAAGGAGCAGGCCGAGGCCCTCGACGCGGCGGACCTGTTCGCCGCGGGCGAGCAGCTGGCGCTGGTCTCTGCGTTCCAGGCCCGCAACAGCGCGCGCTTCACTCTTCTGGGATCCGCGGAGCTGCTGAGCGATGCGTGGTTTGATGCGAAGGTTAAGCCTGCTGGTGCCGCGAAGGAGGTCAAGACCTGGAACCGCGAGTTCGCGAAGAGGCTTGCCGGGTGGACGTTCAAGGAGATTGGCGTTGTTAGAGTGAATGAGATTGAGCACCACCTCAACGAGGCTGCCAACGACACGAACCCTGAGATTTACCGGGTCAAGAACGAGGTGGTAAGTCGAAACCTGCGGAATGAGAAAGACTGCAAGACAGAATGCTAACCAAAGGCAGACCTACACCATCTCCGTCTCCGAGTACTCCTGGGACAAGTGGACGCCCTTCACCGTCCCCGCCGACGACGAGCTCCAGCTCGAGTTCAGCATGCTGTCCCCCTTCCACCGCCTGCGCCTCGAGCCCAAGGCCACGACGGGCGACGCGTCCACCTTCGCCGTCTCCTTCGTGCTGCCCGACCAGCACGGCATCTTCAACTTCAAGATCAACTACAAGCGCCCCTTCCTCAACTACCTCGAGGAGAAGAACACCGTCTCGGTCCGCCACATGGCGCACGACGAGTGGCCGCGCTCGTACGTCATCTCGGGCGCCTGGCCCTGGCTTGGCGGCATCTTCGCGACCGTCTCTGGTTTCGTGCTGTTCTCTGCCGTGTGGATGTACAGCGCGCCCACGGCTGTTGCGGGACAGGCCAAGAAGACGCAGTAAGCGAGTGAAGAATAAGTCAGTGGATGAGTGTGTATGAGGCCCCGGGAATGTTGTGCAGAGGGGCGCTCTGAGTTGAGAGTGGCAGTCATGATACGAGGATAGAAAAATGGACCCGATGACGAGCCTTATCTGGATTTGCGTCATGAAGTTTGAGGTGGTCTAGAGGCTTGTAACTGTAGTGTACACATCTCGGCATAGGATGCTTCCCCGACAGATGCGGGGTGGCTTTGCGAAAATGACTTGTTTTTACGTTTAGACTGACGTACTTGGTCTCGTTGGTTTTCTGTGATTGTAGTTCTTGACTTGGCTCTATGTCATTGTGTTCGGACCCTCACCGGATCGGTGAATGCAGCCATCGTGATGGTGTAAAAGAAGTCTTCGAGTACGTGTTAGATGGTCGGTAATGAACTCGCAAGCTTGCACGTAGGTAGAATGCTGCATCATCTACTCAGCTTCTCACAGGAGGCAGACCAGCACATGACGCCGGAAAAGAGGCCAGTCCCGGTGGAATGTCTTGATGTGTGCTGTCCTCTGGCTGGCGAGGGTTTCTCTCTTGAGGTATACTTTGGAATAAGCCTGGGATGGCAACCACGTGGTGACGATTGGATGTTTGGTGGGTGGATGGGTTGTGCTAACACACTGCAGCTTGGTTCTCAGATCTGGCGTTTTTCTCTAAATTCCCCTCGTGATCCAAACAAATTCGCAGCGATCCATTGTCTTGTTCAAGACCGAGGAAGCCATGAGGCTGTCGGATATATAGCTGGCCTGCAGTGTTCAGTCTGGAGGTCCTAGGCGGGCGGTGCGAGCTGGAGGGTATAAGTAGACTGAGATATCTGCTTCAGACTTTGGGCGAGCCAGAGGCAACAATGCATCAATATTCCATTACTAGATTGTCTTTGGAGAAAGCCTAGCAAGCGCATAATCTTTCTAGACAAGACATCTTGTTGTTGTAGATGCAGCAAATAACTCGGATCTTCGGGAGCTTACTGCGTCATCTGGTGTGATGGTTTAAGTGAATACTCTCATAGGAAAGGTGGACAGGGACGAATAGAAATCGGTTGTCTCGAAACAGACGAGGTGTTCAAGTTAGAAAGTGCTCTAACGAGAGATTGACAAGTCGTGGTGTAGGTAGACATGTTAATCTCCGATGTACTAAAAGGAAGAACTGGACCCATCCATTTGTCGTGAACTTCCTCTCTCAGACAAGTCGTGATCACCCTTAAATAAACCCAGCGATGGGGTGGGATCTGGCGTTGCGGGAAATGGCCATGTTACAGGCTCCACATGTCTGTCGTTCGTGGGGAAGACGGTGAAGAGCATCTTCCGGGCCGGCAAGGTGGCACAAGCTTTGTTCTTTAACGGCTGGATATAAAAGAGCCTCAAGGTGCATATCCATAATCTTTGAGCAAATTGAACCGGTAAAAACCTCGTCTATTCATCACAAGGGAAGATTCAGCCTCCCCTTGGCCAATGGTGTGTGTATGGTCAGACTTTGACTATCAGCGCTACCCAGTAGGAGTCATTTTAATGCTAGTCACTGACACTCATCTTTCATATATTCGTTGTGGATACATGTTATAAGGGAGTACCAGAGGACGGACGTTGCTGTCGTCTGAAGAGTCTTGTGAGCGAGTCTTGTGAGCCCTTATTTCATCTGGGGCAATCTACTTGCTGCTTGCAGAGGAATGGAATGAGGAGAAGAGCCAGAACATGATGCATTGTGTGGCTAAAGAACAGCGTCCCCGATCGGTCATTTGAAATTTATTACTTACTGCCATGTCTACTGTCACGGCAGGGCAGTTGCATATTGTTTGGCTAGTTAATCTTCCCGGTTATCTTTATGTTTTCCAGTCGCACTTCACTCCTCGACCTTCACATACTAATCAGCCGATGCCAGTATAAATAAGTGTGCAAACATTGAACCAAGGACGGTTTCTGGGCCAAAATGTGTCTTTTGCCATCTGGTTCGTGAGTGCCGGGAGGTGGACATCCCTGGTGGCTGAGGGGCCGAGGGCAATCAAATGCGCGGTCTCAGGCTACGCATGACCTGTGAGAGGGATTGAGTGCCTTCCGTAGATCCGAAGTAGCGTCATGGTCTCAGTGTCTGGTGTCAGTGGGTCTTCCTAGCCTATTTCGATGGATAAATGGTGAGATAAGTCAACGTACCCACTTCCGAAACACCCCCCCATGCGAAACAATAAAAATGCCTCACCGCCACCACCAACCTCCCACTTTCACTAACAACAATATTTTGAATCCTCATCCAAATAACCTCATCTTTCGCACAGCAGT